TTTAATTATCCATCTATACACCTAATATACATTCGTTCACAATCGTACCTTATTATTTTGTTTCGTATTTTTTAGACAACATAAAATTATTTAATTAATAATTTTTCTAAACATCTAATAAAATTTCAACGAGTCTTCCCTATAAATTACACCTTTTTCAATTAACAAATACTCAAAATAATCGCACAAACAACAAATTAAATCAACCAATAACCAATTTATGTACACCAAGACCAATAATTGTCTTGAATACTCCATCAAAATTAAATCTCAAACTTGTCCTCATAGCTCAATCGCAAAGTATTGAACCAATCTTATTTCTCCTCAATTCCTAAAGATCTCTAACCCCTCGAATTTGATAAACTACGACATATCTTAACACACTTCAATAATTATATACGAAATAATTATATTAATTAATTCTAATTCTAACCAAATTAAATTTAAAATAACAATAAACTTTTAAGTTTTAATATAAATAAAGTTTTAATTCAAATAATTAAAAGAATAACATAATTAATTAATTAATTATAAATCTAATTAACTTAATTAATTCTAATTCTAACCAAATTAAATTTAAAATAAAAATAAAATTTTAAGTTTTAATAGAAATAAATTTTTAATTCAACCAATTAAATAAAACTAACCTATTAATTGATTAAATATAAATGTAATTACCTAAATTAATTCTAATTCTAACCAAATTAAATTTAAACTAATAATTAATTAACAATTTCTAATATGAATAAACTTATAATTCAACTAATTAAAAATAATTTACATAATTAATTAACTTAATTATAAATCAAATTAACTTAATTAAGAAAAATTAAATAATTAATTAGCAAAATTACAATTAATTAACAAATTTAGTCGAATTAAACCAATCAAACATAATTAACCTAATTAATTAACTAGATTTTAATAAATTTAACTTAATTAATTAAAAATATATTTTGATTAAATTTAAATTATAATTAATTAACTAATTAACCTAACCATTACCAAAATTTAATAATTTAAAAAATTAATCAACCAATTAATCTAAAAATTAAAAAAAATTAACAATTTATATATATATATATATCAATTAATTAAACTTAAATTGACTCGACAATTACAATAAATTACTAACTTTAATTAAGAAAATAATAGAGAGAAAAAACATACTTAAATATTTGGGTGGAATTAAACCAAGAGAAGGAAAGAACAAATGGGGGTTTTTTTGAAAGAAAAGACCTTGGAGTGGTTGTGGATCGATTGAGAGTGGAAGAGTGGAGTTTGATGGTGATTTGGAGGGATGTGAGAGCGATGGTAGTGGCTAGAGAAGGAGAGAGAGAAGAAAATGGAGTGGAGGAAGAAGAAGGAAATTAAATTAAGGCTGGACAATAGCAATAGAAGTGATCCCCTCTCTAGTCCATCGTTAAATGGTGATGAACTCTTAAGTCCATCGCTAATTTGTATCAAAGTATCGATCAATTTTGCACGACTTGCTGCATATTTTTTTAATTCGTCGTAAATTATTGATAGCCGTTGTTAATCCATCGCAAATTAAGAGATTTTATCTTTCAAAAAGTCCATCCAATTTTATCCAAATTCTCAACTTCAACAATAAATTTTTTCGTCTTTAAATTGTGAGAGATGTGTCCTTTAATGATAGAATATACATCGCTAAATCATGACATTGAAAATGGTGATGAATTTTTCTTTTCGTCATTATTTTTCCTAGCAAATTCATTGCTAAACCGTCTTTAAAGATTTTATATCAAATTTAGCGACGGATTAGTGTCGATCACTAATAAACCATCACTAGTCCTTCACTCTTCCATCGTTAATTTGTCATTAATTATAACAATCGCTATTCACTTTATATTTAGCGATGGACTTATGTCTATCACTAATTTTCATCTTCTTTAGCGAACTTCGGTAGTAAGGTTGAATCTTAAAATTGTTTTGTTTTTTCGAGAAAACAAGTATAAAGAAATATGAAATTACGCACTATATAAGTCAACTGGATACTAAGTTTTGGCCATTATACACGAGTGAAGCCACTTTGTGATATTTTTCCTTTCTAGAGTAAGTAATGATGCGAGAAAACATTCCTCTTGCACCAAACAAAGTATAAAAACAACCACTCCTCTTGCTCCAAACAAAGTATAGAAACAACAATGGATATTCTCCTAACACAACTCCTACACAACTATCCAACTTCATCCGAGTTTTAAATGGAGATAACATTGTTGTTGCTTATGATTAAAGCATAGTTGAGAACACGAATTAAGCTGATATACTAAAGTAAAACAATGCAATGAACAAGTAGAAGGAACATTAATGAACGAGTGCTAAACATTGTTCATTAGTTTTTTTTTTTTTAATTTCAAGTTATTTCATTTTGATCCCTAAAAATTTTAAATAAACATTTTAATTCCTTAACTCATGCACTACACATGCCTTTTCTTCTTTTTTTTCTTTGCTTTTTTTCCTGTTCTTTTTTCTATCAATTTATATTCTTTTTAATTTGATTGGGTGTTAAAATTTTGAAAAATTAATTTTTTCTTTGCTTTTTTTCCCATCAATTTATGTTCTTTTTTATTTAATTGGATGTTAAAATTTTAAAAAATCAATTGTAATTTTTTTTTCACAAAACGAAAAATTATATAATATATCTTTTTATATTTTAAAATTAACATATATTTCATTCTATATTACTCTTGCTATTTAAATTTCATTATTTGAATTTATCATATTTCACTATTCACACACTCAAATTTCGTTATTCCTTCAACTATTTATAGCTTTTTTTATATCATAAAATAAATTAACAAACTAAAATAATTTTTTTAAATAATTTTATATATTTAATTAAATTTACAGTATAGCGTAGATAAAAATTCTAGTTAGTATCTATTTCTCAATGACAGTGTCCACTAGGTAAATTTTTTTACATGGATAGGATTTCCATTTGGGGCAATGGGCCCCGAGTGGATAGATGTCAATTTCCATCGGTACAACTTGTGTGGTAGAAAGGGGAACAAATACTGGAAAGACTAATAAAGAGACACTATTTGGGCCCTCTTGGACTGAAGAGTAGATATAGTGGAGAAATTACATGCTTAGCACTAGCATTTGTACCCTAGCTCATAGGCAGTATCATTCACAGAGTCCTGGGCAATCCATCTAAATGACCCTTGATGATGTAATCCCAAGGTAAATGATGCATTAAGGCAGATAGACATGAGTGCTAAAATCAAGTGACATCCAAAGAGATATACACTACGTATATAAAAGAAAGAAGATTGAAGAGAACTAAGTAAAGCTAATGAAAACTGATTAAACACAGTTGGCTGACAATTAAGAAAGTAACTAATTAAAGCAGAAAAAATCCGTTGAATTATTAGAGTTTACATTATATCAAAGTCTAGTTGAGTATTTGATATAAGTTCTCCAAAGTTCAAACTTTCTACAGATCTTTAGTTAATCTTATCATGATTTTATAGTTCGAATATGATAGCACCTATGACTTAAAAGGCTTAAAATGACACAAGTCGAAAGCGAAAGACAACCTAGACGAAAAGAAATGGTCATTTAGGCAATATGATAATATGGAAATGATCAATTCCAAGATTATGAAATGTTATCAGTTAGAAACGATAGAAAAAGGACGGAAGAGGCAGCTCCCACCTACTAGTCATAGGCTTGCGCCATTACAAGTTTCAAGCATGAACGCAAAGGTGCATGAAGCAAAATTTTTGTCCCCCCCAATAGCTAGAGATATGTTAGATGAGATTCCCACTTACAAATCCTACAACCATTGGTGGAAGCTTGATCTACATGAACATCTTCCGTATAGCTGTCAGAACAACTACTTTGAGGGGACTATTTTCTAGGAGAAAGGGGAGCACTTCAAAGAGAGTACTCAGTAAAGCGGTCAGTGACAAGACAACCAAGCACCTGTTTTCCATTCTGAAGCTATAAAATGAAAAAGAATCCAACACCTGTCTACTTGTGTTACCCCATAACATGAATATGCTCCCTTCTCTATGATTCTGCTGTCAAACGATGCTAATCAGGATTGTAATTTGAAATTAGTTCATACAAGTTTTAGTTAAGACCCTTAAAGCAATCAACTTTCACGTTAACCATTTGAGTATTAGCTGCAGTTGTAAAGGGGGAGTGGGTTGCGTTAGAAAGGATCAAACATTCAAATCTAATAATTGAGTCACTCCCATAAAGAAAATAAAGAAAGACTCCCAGTAATTAGGTAGAAGGATACAGGTATTAAAAAAGCTTAGTTTTTTTTTTTTTTTTTTTTTTTTTTTTTTTCCTATGAAAGTATTTGATGCAAAGCAAGGAGTTTCATAATTTCTAACAACCATTGCAATCTAACAAGAGCAAGCAGGACAAACTGTTTTTGTGTTCAAGCTTTTGTTTCACATGCATAACTCAAGTGCTTTCTCTCATGTATAGTGCTTTCGACCACAAAGGTGAAAGTTCAAATTCACAGAAAAGTCACTCCATGCAAAAATGTTGAGAGAGCAATTGTCTCCAAATTCGTCCTTGCAAGAATGCTCTTCTGTGGAACTCGAACTGGACAATGATCTTTTCTAACTTTTTCCTCAGGCGTTTTAGATCATGAAGCAAGTACCCACAAATTATTGAAAAATAGTAAGGTTCTTTTGATTATTACCTTCATCTCCCACTTCTCAATCGTCTAAATGCTTTCCTAGCCAATATAAACAACAGTACACAACACTGAAAAGAAAAGGGAGGAAGAGGAAGATTCTAGCCAAGAAACAAAGGTGCAAATGACATATTTTCATTATCATATTAGTGTCTTCGGCCCAGCCTAGTGGGAGATAGAGAACAATGAACACTGACAGACATCCTATGGTTAGAACCAAGAAGACAAAACACAAACCTACAAGATAACATTTAGTTACATAAATTTGACAAGGGACCTCTCGAGCATACTAACAACTAGACTCACCAGAATTATGAATTTAGCATGATGATGAACCATGATTGCTTTGACGAAAGTTAGAAGACCCAGGACTAGGAGTTTGCTTTAATTCAACCCCCTTTCCAGGAAATCTGGGGCTCCTATCCACCCTCAGTTCACTAATTTGCGGGCTGTATGCCCTTCGTGAAAGCCGTGGACTATATGAAGATTTTATATCCTCTACTGAACCTGGAGTAGAACTTGTTATTTTAGGGCTTTGTGTATGGCGGATCTCGCCACGGCTTCGTGTGATAATTTCATCAAGAATTTCTGCACCATCAATATTAGTGGTTCTTGCTTGTGGATTTTGATCCTGTCGGATACAAAAAGCATCATACATTAGAACTCAGAATTTCCCAACTGTTTGAACACAATGTTTTATGAATTTAGCACACCATGAAAAGTGGATTCTTGGAAGACAGTTACTTGAATGCAAAGTATTATTTGTTTCTGGTGAGCTGTGTGATAATTTAGACCCATTGAATTGCTAGAAAATTGCAAAATTCAAATGGATCTGGCATGGTGCGGATCCAAAACAATTTCTCATTAACGAGCATCAGGAAACCAGCTTTTGCTCAAACCTGAATTGCTAGCACATAGCAAAATCCAAATGGATTTGGGATGGTGCGGATCCAAAACAATTTCTCATTAAAGATATAATATTAGGAAACCAGCTTTTGCTCAAACCTGATCTGTAAGCATGCCAAGCTGAAATTTGAAATGAAGCTCACAGGAAAGAGATGAACTTACTTCAAATGTCATGTTGTAAGATACAGCAGGAGCTTCCTCGTATTCTGCAGCATCCAAGTCTTGAAGATGGGCTCCTTTGAAAAACTTGGGGAGCACATACTGCCGCACTGGAACAAGGAGCATGATTAACAGTGGGAAAAGGACCCCAGCTAATGGAATCCATGTTATGCCAAAGCATACAAGCAGGTAAACTGTCTGGAACAAAGTGAAGGTGGCAATTGTTTTGAAGGGAACTGTCTCGATGAAGGTAGCATGATACTCCTCCAACACCCTGGAAAACAAAGTCCTGGATTAGATGCCTGATTCTTAAGAGGATTACCATGACATATAAATCATCATCATCATAATATGGTTTTGTTAGTTATCGAAATATTTTCTTCCCATACATTTCAAAATACAACATCCATATTTGCGTGAAGTTAATAATCAAAGCCTAGTAACAAAACAAATCAAGAATGGGAGATGCAGATAATGATAATTAACAGAGTATGGAAAAGTTCTTAGCTAACAGGATGTGGCATGGCTGTACGAGCATACACTCACTTGTATCTTCTGCTTGGAGCAGTAAAAAGCAATAATATCCTCTCCCAAAATTGATTTCCTGGCAAGCTTTCAATGGCCATAAAAGCAAAGTAACCCCAAAGCACTGAGGTTGGGATCTTCTTCAGAACAGGCATAGCAGCAACACAGCCACCTACCATCAATGCCTGAAGCAGATTGCTGAGACGTTGTTCTTTGACTTCAACTGGTAAAAGGTCATCTATATCTTTATCCACATCAAAAACAGTCTCATCAACAGGGGCATCAATGTAGCCAGTACTTGAGGCTAGCTGGATTGTGGATTCTTTCAGCTCTTTTAGTCCCTGTTTCAAGTAATGGTAAGGAAAGAAGAAAAGGAAAACAAAACATATTTTGTAAATAAAAAATCATAAGCAGGCTAATCTACCAGGGCAGATGGCAGCTGATAGGCTAACGGAGTCTGCATTTCATTGTATGCTTCTTGCATGCTTCGGTATAATTGACCCAGGTTTGAATTTTTACCCATACTTTTTCGGGCTGTTGAAACAAGTTTATTCCGCAAAAGCTGTGTGAAAGCAAAGAAACAAAGATTATGAGAATCAACAGCCTGTACAATACATAGAGACATTAATCAGTGCCAAGGAAGAAAAGCGAAGCATTTAAATGCCCATCCAGTGTTGAACAAAAAGGAGTCCGGAAACAAGCAGGGAAGCCAATAATGCATAACAAGTGTTTCTCATAAACTTCCTCCACTAGAAATACCAATTATTTAAGCCCCTCAGCCATGAGTCAGGTCCTAAAGGGAAAATGGTTGGACGCTTATCCTCCATGTATGCATGAATGCAAAGGAACAGGAGTGGCATGTTTCTTCAGTCTTGGTATTTTGGAGCATTAAACACTAGACTCAGAGAAATTTAGTGTAAAGAACTTCAGCTATCTCCTATTCTTCGAACCAGATATTTATTATACAAAGTTAGAACTTGATCGGCAGTTACCTGATGTTTCAGGGTAGCTAAGCTTTTTGTATGCATTGGAGATTGTGGAATTACACCATTCGAAGGAGGTATGCCAATAAGACCACACAATATAACCTGTCCATGTCAATGCAGCAGAAATGTAAAAAATTTCATCCAGCTTGCTGTGATTAAACCATCTTAGTATAATCGTGATGAGAAAAAATGATGTCTCTGAATAATACACTACCAAAAATCCCAAAAGAAGAAGGTCATAGTGATAGGAAGATGGTTTCTTCAAATTGAATTCCTTTTGCTGTGCAAGTTGTGATGCAACACTATGATCGAAGTAGTAAAGCACAGCAATCATGGTTGCAGGAATAAATGCTCCAACTATATATAAAGGAGGCACATTCACCATTTCCTGCACAAATAAACAAAGTATCAGCACCATTCTAGGACTAGGAGGAATTATTACACAGCTTAAGCTCTGTATCAAGTTAATGCAATCTCATATTTAAGGAATTTTGTTCTAGGATTCACCTTGACAACTGTCCAATTTGAGTACGCACCAGCAGACCATGGATTTGGACTGAAAAGCCGCCTTGGGATCCCTCTTGGAACATCTTTAACAGGTATGTATGATGCGGCTGTCCACACAAGCACCATAAGTGGAACCCCATAATCTGCAATGAATCCTCGTAGCCAACCTTTGAACAAAAAAAAAAAAAAAAAATGAAGAGCTGTCGGTAAAAGTTTATGAGACATATAGTAACCATTGAGAGTATATGCAGACAGCAAAAACTTTTTCTTCATAGCCATGTTGAATTCACCATATTTAAAGGAAAAAATAAAAAAAATCATACACATAGGCAGATATACATGAATCCCTCCCTTTTTAAACTATTTTCAAGAGGCCTTAATTTGAGAAAGAGGGGCAGGGCTTATGGTCATTATGGCTTAGTTGCCACTACAAGTTCTTAATCAACGACTGTTGTAAAACTCAACCTAAGTCATGCAACAGAAGTTTATTTTCCTTCAAACCTCTATTTAGGAGTTTAAATGCAGTAATATCCAATACCTGTGCCATAGCGCCACGATCTAGCCTTACGGCTCCTTAGTGCAGTCAGAAGAAGGCCAAAGGAGAGAACCAACGCAAACATTCCATTGCCAAATCTCCAAGAAGGTTGCAATGCGGTTTGGTTAAGATTTTCCCTCTTGGGAATGCGAAACTCCTCAACAACTCCCTATAGTATCAAATCCAAAAGTTGAAGGTATGATGAGAAGACAGTCTATGCAGATGGTACTAAATTCTTGTCACGGTGCTTTGAGAAAGAACATGGTGTTTTGAGTTGTCTACTATGAGAACGTTCAAGGAATTAAATTGTTCTCGGAAAAATCCATATAAAGTCATTTGGAAGCATTTAACTCAGAAATTAAATGGGTCTATGAGAAAATGATGTGAGTTCATGAAGAGTGCTCACCTTTATGGCCTGCTGCATAAAGAGCATTGCAATAAGCAGACCAAATAATTCACCAGCAACACGCGTAAACCTGTTGATTATAGAGCATGCACCCAATACTGCCAGCAAGAAGAGCAACAAAGCTGTCCACACACAAACCCTGAGAACACATAAAGTGAAGGAAATCCTTGAATATCACCATAAATCACACCACGCATATCAGATAAGAAAGATTGTTTCAGTCATATACCATCCTGTCCACGCTAAGAAGAGATTAGGCCCCAAATCCTTTCGGTCCTTTGCAAAGTCGAACATAAATGTATACATCAACACAGTTGGCTCAGCAACCCCCAGTATGAGCAGGGGCTGTCCTCCAACAATTGAATGGATGATGCCACAAAGTGCTGTCGATGCAAGAGTTTGCACTGCAGTCAAAATTCCATCTGTAACATGTGACCAAAAGTAAAGCCTTAGCAGATGACTATAGAAACACCTACAGAAGAGGACAGTAGCAAATATATAAAAGCCAGCCAACCTGTATCTCTTTCTAGCTGTTCCCCGAAAGATATCACAGGAATTGCTGAAGCAAAGAATATATATGTTGTTGGAGCAAGGATCCTAAATGGAAGGACATATTATTAGTGACTTTGATTTCTTTTTTTTTAAAAAAAAAACAATTCCGATTATATATGTTACATTGAGCATAATCAAAAGCTTATTATGCTATGCTCAAAGTTGACATAAATACTCTAATAGCAACCACTGCAATGGTAAATATTATAACAATAGCATCTCACTTGTGTGATTAAATATATGCAATAAGAGTCACAAACCTGATGCCCGCACGTAAGCCGCCATTCCAGTCTTGCTTGTAGCACAAAAGCCTTCCTCTAAGATCATTTTTTATTCCACGCAAGGGAACGAATGTCTCCTCCATGACAACTCAGAGTTTTGGGATAGATTGAGTTTTCGTTCAACAAACTAATCTAGATAAAACACAAAACACAAGACTCCGACCGGATTTACTACTCGAGAGGCCAATATGAGTAGCTACACTTGCATAGGAGAAGCTGACAATGAGAATCTATGGGCAGAAAGAAAAGGAACAAAAGCAGGAACATAATCCTGAAATTAGCATTTTGGAGAAGATATATATACGTAATCCTGTTAAGTAAATATTTACGGTTAAAGATTCTCACATTTCAAGGAATATGTAAAGAATGATATTGGTATATTTTCTATAAGAACAAAAGAATCGTTTAGCAATGAGTCAAATCACCTAAATAGTTATTTAAGAATCCATGATACTAGCGAACAGAACCCGTAGTGAAATTATAAAAAAAAAATGTGAATTAACGGCAAGGACAGATACTCTCCATATGCACAGATCTTCTTAGCGTTTGACTTTAATGAAATTTGGATTCATTGACACTGCTTTCTTTACTTCATTATTAAGAAAAGCTTCCGATTCATCAACTAAGCCCCACCAGAAAGCACAACGTAACAAAATGCAGTTGACAGGTGAAAATTACATGTTACTATTGTGAAAAAACTAGCCAAGTTTTAGGCAAGCTCTTTCAAAGATTGTAGTTTTGGGGTACAGTTACATGACCTGAGAGAGCAAAAGACGAAACTGAAGCAAATTAACGAAAACCCATGACGAAAAACTGCATCTTTCAACTGTTTAAAACAAATTTAAGGCAAATGGGCATTAACAGAAGGGGACAACAAACTTAGAAGTCCAAGAAAATGGACTTACACAAGAAGAAGATTATATTTAACGAGAACCCATGATTAAAGTCACAAGGAAATTAATTTAGAAAAGTTTGAAGCAAATGGACATTAACAAAACAGAGGAAAGAACCATGAACAAGACTTTAATCAAGATTACATTATAAAAAAAGACCCTTTAGAGAAACAATAAAAACTCTTTCAAATATTGTAGTTTTGGGGTACAGTTACATGACCTGAGAGAGAAAAAGACGAAACTGAAGACAGAGAGAGCAGCAACTGAGAACAGAGGGCTGTAAATGAGCAAAAGTGAGAGAGAGAGAGATTTTGCAAACAGAGAAGGTGAAGAAGCAATGGAAGGATTTTGGCGTGAATGAGTTAAGAGGTAGTGTGTGGTGACTAAGCATTAATATAGCAGTCCTCTTTTCTGGCACTAGACAATAAAATAAATGAGAGACTCGTGTGTGTGTGTGAGAGAGAAAGAGAGAGAGAGAGAGAGAGATGTGTGAAAGTAATACTAACAGTTGGCATAAATTCCAAAAAATAATGCTAATAACAATAAAAGAAAATATTTGAAATAGAACATGAAAAAGACATCGACCTCAATAATGTCAATTTTCTAGTTCTGAAACATGAGTTTATCAAGGAAGTCACTCACTCTAAAATCATGGAGGTAGCATTAGAATTTCCTACCAACAAATAAACAATTTTTGTTCTAAATGGGAACTATGTCTTTTGGTTTAATTTCTCATTTCATATTGATAGGATTTTTCCATTATCAAATTAAATCTCATTCCTATTTGGTTTTACAGAAGTCATTCATATTTCCTTTTCCTAAGCTTTTTTCATTATATTAAACGAGAATACAAACAGTAAACTCCCTTGAACTTAGGAATGAGTAAACGATTCGATTAATCAAAATCGAATCAAATCGAACCGAATTATGTATTAAATGAGAATATAAGCAGTAAACTTACTTGAACCACCACCTAAAAAATTATTCTAATTACTAACTACAAGAATGAAATTAGAAATTACTCTACACAATCTGTAAATAAAAATATAAAAGTACACGAAATTCTTCATATGCTTAATAACAAATTGCAGTACATGTTACTTTATAATCTAATAGTTAATTTGTTTTTCAATTCATACTTATCTATCTTTTGACGAGTAGAAATTACAACAATAGTGTTTTATTATCCACATATAATTAATTATAATTATTTTTTAATAATATCATATTTGAACTCATATGATCTAAGAGAAAATCAAATGATCGATCAAGAATTAAGCATGTTATGATGTTCACTTACTCAAAAAAATGATGAATTTAATTTTAATTAATACAAAAACTTATTCGAAAATACTTCGATATATATATATAACGTACAAGAACAGTACTATCTTGTAAAAACTAAATCTTTCTCTCCAATCTGATAGAAGACAAGCTATTCACTCAAAATTAAAGGATTTATGAGATTTTTGTTTTAAATTTTGGTGTTCAAGGGGGAGATTACACCCATCAGGCCATCAAAATGATCCCTTCATATTAATTTATTTGTTAAACAACGGTGAAAACAATATCAAAATGGATATCGGATTTAAAGATGACAAATCCATTGGGTCAAGATAGGTTTTTTTTTTTTTTTTTTTTTTTTTTTTTCCTTAAAAATACACCGTCCAACCCAGAATGCCTAAAGCAATCACTCGTCCTCCCCCAACTACACCCAGCTAGTTAAAGAACTTTGTCCACCCACCGACTACGTCATCTCAATCATTTTTTCCTTTTAAATAAGAATCACATTCTTAAAAAATTAACAAATTCCTATGTATGAATTACAACACCATGAAATAGAATACCTAATTAAAATCATACTGAATTTAATAATATTTTATTTTTTAAAAAAATTCTTTTTTCTAATCAATTTTTCTATAATATTTTTTCCTTGCTCCATTAAAAAAAATAGAAAAGAACATAAAATAAACAAAAAAGACTAAATAATTATTTTTTGAAACTAATAGAGACTAATTAATTTATTTTTAAAAAATAAATATATAATAGAGAGGTTTTTTTTTTCCCCCTTTGTTATTGTTATTAGAGTCTTTCAAGCCAGGTTTGGTTGTTGATTTTTTGATGGCTTTAGATATGTCATTTACAATTGGTTTGATACGTTAGAATAAATTTACCTTTTAACCTAAAAAAATGCTAATGTAGGAAACAAATTAACCTACATCAATCAAATCTGATTGTTATATTATATACTTTTATTTATTTTTTTCGGAAAGTGGAAGGTCTGAAGGGCTGTGATTTTTTTTCATTATATATTTATAATTGAAAAATTACAATTGCAATAACTTGTTTATATATATATATATATATATATATATATATATATAGTAAAAACAAGTTCGGTTACGGCCCACGAGCCAACTTTGCAATAAATTCACTGTTTAAAGGTAAGGAAAAAAACTTTAAATGAATCTAATTTTTCTATAGCTACTTTGATTTGCATAAACTAAAAATGGCATCAATTATATTGTCAGCATTTTCCTAAAATTATATTTACCATAACATCAAGCATGCTTTTTTCTTACCTGATGGGTAAGAAACTTTCCTTCCGTCCTTATTTGTTTCGATGTAAATTCTGGAGTCAGTATTTAAGAGATTTTATTAAATTTGTTAGAATACACCAAGTTGATATAAAAATAAAATTGTATTTTTAAAATTTTTTGAAAATATATTTAGTTTCCATTAATGTATAAAGTGAATTTTTTCCGTAATGGGATAAAAGAAAATATCCGGTGACTTACACATAATTTTTTTTTTTTTTATGAAAATACCTCTTGGATCAATTTTTTTCCTTTTTTTCCTCCTTTTTCTTTCTCTTTTTCTTCCTCACTACAAAAAAAAAAAAAATGTTAAATAGCGACAAAAATCAACGACCGACAATAAGTTGTCACATTAAATGATGAATTTACAAACAAGTAGCTATTGTTATCGACTTGGGGTTGATAGCAATGGAATACGTACAAATCGACAATGAAAAAATAACGACAGAACATTTCAATCATTAAATAATGCAACTAATTTTTGGTGAAAATTTTAACAATCGACTATCAACTAAATTGCAATGGCATTTAATGATGGATTATGATTTTCGTCGTTAAGACTGTTTTTCGATTAAGGATTTAGGATGGAACATGATGGAGTGTAATGTAAACTATACTTAAATCGTTATATGGGATTAATGGAATGGAATGGGATGGAATGGTATGTTGTTCCATTCCATTCCATCCTAAACATTAAAATGAACAAACCTCAAGTTGAGGTGTTTAGGATGGAATGGAATGACCACATCTCATTAAAAAATTTTCTTTTCAAAATTGTCCCTTACTCATTTTGTCATTTACAAAATTACCCTAACCTTCGAGATATGACCAAGCTATTCTACTAAGAGTATTACAATATGTGGACTCTTCATAATTTTTTTCTTTACTTCTCAATCTTTGGCCATTTCATTTTTGTCTAAATATATATTACTTTAATATCTAGATAATAAAAAATAGTACTAATATGGATAAAAGTATAATATATTAGCTTAATAACTATTTATTGCTCATTTGAAATTCGTTTATTGATAAAAGAGATATAGAAGGTTAAATTTGTAATCTTCTATTATTAATGGACAATTTCATTCCATTCCATTGGTTTCCCAAACAACATTGCCGACAATTCCATCATAAACCATTACATTCATCGCAAACAAGGGTTTAAATACATAACCCCCTGTTCCATTCCATTATAAACCCTTCATCGCAAACGTTGGAGCATTTTTTTCCTCTTATTAGTGACAAAATATTTTGTTGCTAAACATTTTAATTTCTCACCAATTAGAGATGGAATCTATATATCGCTAAAAAATTCAAATTCGGTAATGGAATTGTTCGTCGCTAATAGGTGAAAAAGTGGCACTATTTTTTAATTTTAAAGTAGCAATGGACATTTATATTTATCATAAATCGGTGATAAAATAGCTATAGAGTCGTGTGTGTCACTAAATTACAATTCCTAATTAAATTGATAGAATCCCTTTCTTCCCTCATTTCCTTCTCCGACTTAACCTCTCGCCGTCGCCGCCTCTAAATAGTAGCTTTGACTATAACACCCTCCAAACAACCTCACAAATCGGTCCCCGACTATCC